GGTTTTTTAATTTTCTTTCAATCCTCATTCCCCACTCAAAAACTGTTCAACTCTGCCAGCGGGCTCTAGCAGTGGGTGCTGGAAAATGAACCCAGATTCTCTGGAAGAGCAGCCAGTAAGTACTCTTAACCACTGAGCCAACTCTCTAGCCCCTCAGGAAGACATTTTAATGCATGTACATGTGCTTTGTTTTGTTTTGTTTTGTTTTGTTTTGTTTTGTTTTGTTTTGTTTTCCAAACAGAGGCTCTGTCTCTGCAAGGGTGACCCAGACTTGTAATTTCCTGCTGTGATTACAGGCCTGTGTCACCACAGCAGTCTCAGAAGTTCTTTTTTAATGATACCCCAATAACAAAAGAAGAGTGAAGAGCCCTGCATTTGCATAAGAGTCCCTGAAAGAGATCAGAGAAAATGAAAAGAAAGAAACTATCAAACAGCTTGTTCAGAGAAGGTTTTCCAGAGCTGGTGGAGTCTCAGTGGGTAAAGGCACTTGCCAACAAGCCTGAGGACCTGAGTTTGGACCCCATGACCCACATGGTAGAAAGAGAGACTCAATTCCTGCAAGCTTCTCTGTTCCCCTTCCTCCATCCCTATCCCTCTCTCTGTAATTAAAAAAAAAAAAAAGTAAGAAAATATTTCTCCAGAAGCAAAAGACTTGAAGTTCCAAGCTGGAAGGACCTAGAAAATAAGGCTTCTCTCACCTAAAAAGGTTCCAAGGTCTTGAATCAACATTTTTTCCAAAGAATAAGGTGCATGCAAAGATATTGGACATCACTAATTATCAGGGGAATGCAACCAAAACCTCAAAATCCCTTCACACCTGCTTGGGTGTTTATAATTGGGAAAATATGTAACAGACATTGGCAAGGCCATGCAGAGTAGGGAAGGAAGCTTTGCACACTTCTGTTAGTAATTTGAATTTGTTCAGCATCTCTGGAAAACTGTGGGGGAAGAGGATTCCCAGTGTATGATATGTCAAAGACTTTGCTTCTAAGTTCTCTTTGTGAGTGAAGGATGATGTTCTCTACCCAAACCAGTGAGGAGATGGAATATAGGAAACACGGGAAAACTGATGGAGGAGAGAAGCAAGGGCAATCTCCCGTCGAGGGAGACTCAGATGAAGAAAAGAAGATCCAACATCTCTGAGAAATGTAAGCAGATGAAAATGACAAAATAACTAATACGAATGCAGATATTGGGTGGAGCTTTATACAGCTGCCAGAGGATAAGTTGAATCAATGATGAATTTTTAATTTAATTTTTGGTTTTGGTGTTTGTTTGTTGAGACAGGTCCTGGCTGACCAGAGACCCTCCTGCCTCTACTTCCTGAGCGCTGGCACTAAAGGTGTGTGCCTCAACCACCCAAGCCAATGAGCATGTTTTAATCACCCATTGATTATAACAAAATAATTAAAACAAAACTTGTGTAGAAAGGAACAAATAGAGCAGAATGCAATGGCATACACCTGTAATTACAGCACTTGGGAGGCAGGCAGATCTCTGTGAGTTTGGGGCCAGCCTGGTTTACAGAGTACAGGACAGCCAAGGCTACACAGAGAAACCCTGTTTCAGAAAGAAAAAAAAAAAAGAATATATGACCTTACGACAACATCACCAGTATTTAAACCAGCCAAGTCAACCATCCTAATGCTGTGACCCTTTAATATAGTTCCCCCATGTTGTGGTAATCTCCCCCCAACCATAAAATCATTTTCTTTGCTACTTCATAGCTGTAATGTTGCTACTGTTATGAATCATAATGTAAATATCTGAAATTTCCAATGGCCTTAAGTGACCCCTGCAAAAAGGTAGTTTGGCCTCCTAAGGGGTCCCAACCTACAGGGTGAGAAGCAGTTGTATAAACTATTCTGTGCTTGATTGGCACTGAACCTAGAGCCTCATGAGTGCTAGACAAACTTGGTAGACACTAACTACAGCCTCAGCCTTCATTTATTTGTTTGTTTGTTTGTTTGTTTGTTTGTTTGTTTTACGGGAAAAGTCTCACTAAGTTGCCCTAGTTGGTTTTGAATTCATTCTGTAGCTCAGGCAGGCTTTAGACATAGTGTCTTCCTGCCTCAATTATCCTAGAAACTGGGATTATAGACTTGTGTCACCAGGTGTGGTTCATTTAAAATGCTAAAAGAGGTATTTTCGAGCTGGGAAGAATGCTTGTCTTGCAAGCATGAGAAACTTCATTCAGTACTTAGAGTCCATGTAAAAAAGCTGAACATGGTGGCAGGCTTATAATTAGAGTACTGGGAAGGCAGAGACAGAAGTGGGCTTTCTAGGGCTCAATATTCAATCCTAATTAGTGAGCTCCAGGCCAATGACAGACACCACCTCAAATGAGGTGGATGGTATTCCTTGGGTGGTATGACTCTATCTACAATCTAACAATCTTACAATTTTACAATCTACAAGTAAAATTGTTTATAGGTGACTAACCACTAATTTGCATCTCCAATCATCCTGAACAGTTTTCAATAGTTAGCGTTCATAAGACTGGAATTTTAAACCACAATTTCTAATGAGTTGCATATGTACAATACATCAAGCAAAAGTTGATTTAAAAAAACCTTAAATTTCTATCAATATGCAATAAATAAATTGCATATGTACAATACATTAAGCAAAAGTTGAACAAAACAATCTTAAAATTTTGTCAATAGACCATAATCCATACCATTACAAAATATTTGACACAAGGAAATTCAATAATCTACTTTTTATTCTATAATCTTATACACCCCCTTTTTATCATTCCCTTTTCCCCTCCTTTCCCCTAACACTAACTAAGAGAGAAAAAGATAAAAGAAAGAGAGGCGGAAAAAGAAAGAGATCCCTGATTTTAACCTTTGCTTTGTTTTCTCCCTTACCAAGTACTGAGATTACAGGCTGTGCCACTGTGCCCAGCTGACACTTTCTTACAGTTGTACTGCACTATTTCTGCTCATAGAGCATCTTATGTGGTTCTTTTTTTTCTATTTATTTACTTACAAGGACAAATAACAAAATTAGAAATAATGAAACCCACCAATGTTTATTGGATGATTTTATGCTCAAAGAACGTGATAAACACAAAAAGAAATGTAAGCAGGGCCTAGAGAAATGGCTCAGAGGTTAAAAGCACCTGCTGCTCTTGTAGAGAACCTCAGTTCTGTCCAAGCATTCACAAGGTGGCTCACAACTGTCTGTAACTCTAGTTTCAGGGGACCTGATGCCCTCTTCTGGCCTTTGAGGGCACCAGGCACTCATGTGGTAGACATGCATGCATATATACAGCAAAACATTCATATGCATAGATCTTTTTTGAAAAGTAACATAAGAAAACTATTGAATAAATTTTAGGGATAGGATGTCAAATTCAGTTTTGAGAGACAAAATGAGGTAATCTTAAGGAATATGAATAAAATTTTTTTCCAGGGGTGGTGAGGCTTGAATTCAAGACCTGATGCAACTAGACATGCAATTAGCTAAGGAGCAGCTACACTCTCAGACTATGAAAGAGTTTCCTTTCTTTTTTCTTTCCTTTCCTTTCCTTCCTTCCTTCTTTCTTTCTTTCTTATTTACTTATAGACAGGGTTTCTCTGTGAGTGCTGGTTTAAAGCTGTGTGCTACCACTGCCCAGCTATTTTCTCCATCTTTGAAAGAGTGTTTAGTTTTAGTCCTGTGTGTCCGGGCGAGTGCCTGCCTGTATGTCTGCGCACCACTTCCATCCCCTTTGCCTGAGATAGGGTTTTCTCTCCACTGGTCTGTGTTGTTTTTAATAAAAATCTCAGTTTTTCTTTATTTTACCAGATGCTGGAGTGAAAGCCTGCTAGCTCAGAGAGGCAGAGAAAGCACCCAGCTGACCTTTCTCCTCAGCTGACATCCCCAACTTCTCCATACCTCAAAAAACAAAAAAAAAAAAAAAAAAAAAAAAAAAAACCCTCAAACTGAATGTCTCTCCCTTCTACTTCCCGTGTGTCCTTCTATTCTGCTTCCCTAGGATCAGAATCACAGATGTAAATATGTGCCACCACGCCACGTTTTTAAAAAGTGTATAATGGCAGGGGGGGATGCATGTTACAAAATATGTGTAGGTGTCAGGGGAGACCCACAAAAGTGGGTCCTTCCATAGGGTCCCCAGGATAGAAATCTAGTCATCATCTCTGGAGCAGGTCCCTTTATCTGCTGAGACATCTCACTGGGTTCTGGAAATCAGACCCCAGTTCTTGCAAACCAAGCACTTTACATACTGAGGCCTTGGTTAGTCTCAAAAAATAAAAATAAAATAAAATAAATGAAATGAAACAAAACTGAAGTTACCTTTTGCAGCTAAATTTAAGTATCATTCATTCCTGTTTGCTCATTCGTAGGGCACAAGTTTATTGAGAATCAGGCAATACCTTCCATGTATATTGAAAATTTGCAACTCAATTAGAAATCAGCATTTATGATTTATTATAAGAAGGAGATAAAGTGAATTCAGCAAGGTCCCTGACAAGATAGCTAAGAAATGGAATAGTGAGATTTCTAACTAGGTTGATTTTTTGAGACAGGGTTTCTCTGTGTAGCCTTGGCCGTTCTGGGCTCATTTTGCAGACTACAATGGCCTCGAACTCACAGAGATCCACCTCCTTCTGCCTCTCTGAGCGCTGGGATTACAGGCGTGAGCTACCGCACCCGGCTAATTTTTGCTTGTTTTGTTTTGTTTTGGGGGGGCAGGGGGCTAAAAAGCTGTGTTGTTTGGTTTTTTAAAAGTCTGTTGGATAAGCACACAGTGAAACAACAGTATAGTAGCTCCGGCTTCTGGCTGTCCTATATACTACTACTCGCTAAGTAGATAAGGCTGGTATTGATTTCATAGATATCCACCTGTCTTTGCCTCTGGAGTGCTGGGATTGCACCGCTATACCTGGTTTAAATTAGTTTCCAAAAACTAAGACAAGGGGGCACCTGGATTTGAACCAGGGACCTCTTGATCTGCAGTCAAATGCTCTACCACTGAGCTATACCCCCAGCTGCTAATGTTTACTCTGCCTTTGTGGACACTCTGGACCTTGGGCTGAACCTGAACCGGTCCCTGCTCATTCGAAAAGGCCCTGCCAGTTATGAGCAAGGTATACAGGCCAGTTAAGCGGTGCAGTCCTACGACGTCTGACCACTGAATCTCAGGGCAGGTTTACGTTTGATTCTTTGGGGTGATGGGTGACGTTCCCGTCCGCCACCACCAGTGACTTAAACCTGGTAGAGAACTTCCCAGGTGCCACAAGGCTCTGCGTTTACGCTTGCCTGGTCCTCGTGTCCCGGGGTGGCTAGGTGGAGGGTGCTGCGCAGTAAATCTGTACCTGGCCGCTCGGGGAAAAGCTAGAACTTTAGCCCCGAGGGCAACGAGCCCCAGGCTCCGCCCATCTGCTGGACCCAGGCGCGGTGACGCACTCAGCCAGCGCTGCCGGTAGGCCGGCAGCCTGCACTGCCCCGAAACCAGCCGAACGGGCTGAGGTGCGGTTGTGTCACCCGTGTGCGACAGCTCTTGCAGGACGTCATGATCTCTGTAGGACGCTGTGGTTCCTGTGAGGTTGAGGCGCCTCCAGAGGCGACCGGAGCTTGGAGCTGAAGCAGTTCCTTGGGCTGGGGCCTTGGGAGGGAGCGCGGTTCCGGTATTGCTGGACCTTGCCTTGAGGCGCGCGTCGGGACTGTGGGGACCTGGAGGCTCTACTGTGTGGAAAACCTCAGACACTGGGGACCTCGCGGGAGGAGTCACCCCTCGAGAGCAGGGCCACAGAGACCCTACACGCTGAGACTCCGAGGATCGAGTGCTGCCCACCGTGCCCCATTTGGCGACCGAGCCGGGAGAGCTTCACGCGTCCTCTTTTTGCTCCCCTTCCAGAGAGGGGACCCTTTCGGGCCTGGGAGTTTATTACAGCTCAGGCAGGAAAGAGAAAAACGCAATTAAAGAAATCATTTCGGCTCTGCAACGTCGGACACTTCAATAGTAACGAGCGGGTGTCCGGGGACGACGCGTAAATCCCTTTCAGCGTGATCGTAGGGAAGTTCCCCACCTAGATCTTGACGAGTTCTCCAGTAACAGTTTTCTGCGGAGGCCAGCTTTGGGGGACTACGTATCGTTGATGGAAGAGGGCCCACCATAACATATCCAGAAGTAGTGCCATGGGGATTGTTAGTGGGACGGGCCCACTAACACAGTCAGATGAGTGTCCTCATCACCGACCGTTGTAGGTTTTTAACATGTTGGAATTTTAAACATGTTCAGACACTGATAATTTTAGAAAGAAATTTAAATTTGATGTTCACCACTTCCTTATCTACAATGGAGATTATGCCAGTTTACTATGAGAATGCTGTGGGCTTGCTAAACAGACGTACTCCGTTGTTCCCCACAGCTATTAAGTGTTTGTGTTCAATACTTTAAGAGGATGTTGAGTGGTTTAGGGGTAAATTTTATAGTACCATTGTGATAGTATTTGATGTATGTGTGTCACTCGGCTACAGTCAAGTGTGGAGGTCAAAGGGTAACTTTCCTAGAGTCAGTTCTCTACTATCACCTTGGGGAATCCTGGAATCGAATCCGGTTACCAGAATTGCCCACAGTGTGTCTACTGAATCTTGTAGCCCCTGTGCTACAAGGCACCTTAAAATTGGCATACTTCCCAGAACATTCAGACTTTTACCAAGAATACAAAGTTTACATTTTAACTCAAAATGCAGTCAAACATAAAGCAGTGCCCACAAGAAATCTTGGCCTAAAAACTTTTTGATCAGAGCAAACAAAAAGAAACCTCAAATGCAGTTTCATTATTGCTAACCAGTGAAGAGGAAAGTCAGGAGCTAAGTCAGATGCCTGCCAAAGTTGCTCTCTATATCAAAATCTAATTACACCTTTGTTAACCATCCTCCCATATGTCCTGCTAAAGATTTATAATCTATTAATCCAGCCCCAGAGCCACAACTGAAAAAGCGTAGAAATTTCAGAATACGTCTCTTTTCCAAGTGGGGTGAGTCTGCCAGGGACCTTCCAGGGAGCGAATTTCCGAAGAAAGCGTATCTCCCACCCTGTAGCACATGCTACAATGGCGACACTGGCGTGGGTGTTGGCACTATCTGCCTAGGGATGGAGCAATTAGACCCTGTCTCAAAAAAGAGGTGGAAAGCAGACGAGGACGACACCCAGCGTCAGCCTGTGACCCCCACCTGTAAGTATACTCTCCAAGAACTTATACAGACTTGGATACTCACACACACGGAAGGCTCAACCTCATCCATAATTTGAAAAAAATGAAAATTAGCAGTGGTAGGCAAGTTATGAAAGCACTGTGGAAAACTGTGAGTTCTGGACTAACCTGGGCTAGTTAGTGAGTTCTAGGTCACGCTGGGCTACACAACAAGAAGCTATCTCAAAAGAAGAAAAAAAAAAAAACCCAATGACAAACTGTTCACATTTTAGATTGACACATGTAAAATGTTGGATAACTGTTGGGGTGGGTATTGAGAAACAGGCACTCTAGTGCACTTCTATTTGATCTATAAATTGGTGCCTTTTTTTTTTTTTTACAGAATAACTGTATTTTTTAATATAAAACTTACATGCTCCCTAAGCCTGACTTGTAACTGATTACCATTACACAGACTTAGGCAGAAGAATATTCCCTGAATTATTTGTATTAGAGTAAGAGTAGAAACAGGTAAATGTTTATCAAGAAGCTATTGGATAAATAAGTTGTAGAATTCAATAGTTTGAAAGAGCACAGCGTTTGCATATTGCTGCAATGTCAGTGTCGTAAGGTGTGGTTTAGTCATAATGTAGATTAAACGCAGAATTAATTGCAGGTTCATATACATAAAGCTGTCACAGGAAGGGCACGTGCTTAGCATATGGCTGCCTCCAAAGAGGAAAATTTGGGGTTAGGGATTGGGAAGAAATTTTTGTAACTATTTGATTTTTTTCCAGAGATATTTAATACCTTTTGAAAATTAATTCTTGGCAGTTTATGAACTAATACTATAGAATATCATTAATTACTTTTTGCTTAAGTTGGATCACAAGGACAAGTCCTAGGTTTTGAGATACAAAAGACCACTGTGACTGGGCTAAAAAAAATAGCAACACTGATGTGATTCATGGAGATTAAGTCATACCCAAGAATGGCCAGGCGATGTGAATTTTATTTATAGTGATATTTTAAAAGGAAGACATAAACTCTAACATTTGATGCAATAGGTTATTTTAAATGATTTCTATGTTATTGAGTGTGAAGGAGGAAAGGATTAAAGCTAAAGATGGCTCAGCAGGTAAAAGGGCTTGCCACCAAACCGAACAGTCCTAAATGTCCCACATGGTGAGAGAACTACTTTTAAGTTCTCTTCTGCTCCGTAAGCATGCTGTGGCACGTGTATGCTTCCCTCAATAAATATGATTTTTTTGAGACAGGGTTTCACTATGTAACTCTGGCTGTCCTAGAACTCAGTATGTAGACCAGGCTGGCCTCAAACTCACTGAGAGCCACCTGCCTCTGCCTTCCAACTACTGGGATCAAAGGTGTGCCCCACCATGGCCAACAATAAAAATTTTAAATGGGGGGGGGGGGTGTGAAGCAAGCAGCCTGGTGTTGGTGGCTCCGGATGTGCTAAATCCTCACGTTGCTTTACCTGCCCTGGTCCCAAATCTCAAACAAACAGAGTGGTGTATGTGCTGGATACCTGGCAAAGTGAGTAAGCCACTAGTGGGAGTGGGGCTTTTGTTTGTGTCTGAGATGCTAGAGATCAAATCCAGAACCTTGCACATGCCAATCCCATGTTCTACCACTGAGCCACAGCCTCAGCCTGGTTTTCTTTGTGATTTTAAAATTCTTCCTGTCCCCCCATTTAAAAAAAAAAAAAAAAAAAAAAAAAAACAACTTTTTACTAATTCCTGTGAACGTCACATCATGCATCCCAGTCCCACTCATCTCTCCATCCTTTCATATCCACCCTCCACCTCTGTGACCTCCCCACTACCCCAAAAAAGTGAATAAGATAGAATTTTTTAAAAAAAAATCTTGTCATGGAAGCTGTAGAATGTCACAGTATGTTCCATACGTTTTCACTTGCTAACGTTCACTGCAATGAGTCACTGCTCTCTTTTGAGGCCTCTGGAATCTGCTACACTGTCAATTCTGGAGCCACTGGGACTCCGCTCAGATATTCTGTTGTCTGCTGTCATGGAGATCCTGCAGCTTTGGGTCTGCAGGACCGGCCTTTTCAAGTGTTCCAGCAGTTCACAGATGGGGTAGATGTTGGGGTGAGAAAATCGAAGTTCTGGATTGGGGCCTGGGTGGTAGCTAAGTTGGACAGCCCGCCAGTTTTCCCACACCCACACTCCCAGGGCCAGCTCTACTCTGCGGCAGCTGGCAAGGAGCAAGGGTAGCTCCCTGCTTGCCTCAGGTGGTGAGGGGCTCCCTCCATTTTTTAAGACATCCTGTAGCCCAGGGGGATGATCTGGAAGTTCAGTTCACTGCCTAGGCTGCCTCAAACTCTTAGCAACTTTTTTGGCCTCTGCCTCCCGAAGAAACGTTTTATTTTGCTTATACGTCGGACTAGAATAACGGCTTTGTGTCAGGCGGTGGTGGTGCACGCCTTTAATCCCAGAACTTGGGAGGCAGAGGTAGATGGATCTGTGAGTTTGAAGCCAGCCTGATCTACAGAGTTCCTGGACAGCTAGGGCTACACAGAGAAACCCTGTTTTGAAAAACAAAATAAAATGATCATTTTATAACTAGGTAAGGTGTACATGTCATTACATAAAATTTTTATAAAATGACCACATGACCCAAATTCTATTATATTGCTATTTAAATAATCTTTTACAAAAACAGTAATAGGTATTTTTTTCTGACAGGTTGGAAAATTGATCTAATGTTAACCGTAAAGTTAAATAATGATCTGGTTTTTTGTTTGTTTTTACTTAGTTAAGACAATAAAATCGCTTGTGACCTAATTTTTTTTCTTTTCTTTTCTTTTCTTTTCTTTTCTTTTCTGTTTTTGTTTTTGTTTTTGTTTTTGTTTTTTTTTTTGTACTGGGGATTGAACCCAGGGCCATGCATGCCAGGGAAACAATCTACCATTGAGCTGCCTCACCACCTAACTTGCCTTTTTAATCTTTCATTAACTCTTGCATCTGGGTTTAGGTAATAGCTTTTAAATTTGGATGAGAAATGTAACTACATAAAGTTACTATTTTGATAGAAATTTAAAATACATTTTTCACTTTTCTGAAAGCATCACACAGGTTATTGAACTTTTGGATGAATCTGCATCTGTGAACTTAATTCTATGAACAGATAAGTTAGGTTAGTTAGAGACTGGCTATGTGGTTTGCCTTACAAAACAGAGAAGTGGAATTCTGTATCCAAAAGTCAGACTAAACATCAATGAAGATTTACAATTACATTCTCAATAGGAAATTGAGGTTGGAAATGAAGTGTTTCAAGAGGAGAACCTATGGTGAGCTTCAGTTGTAATGAAAATTTTTGTTTCTTTAAAAACTCAGTTATGTTATGTAAATATGTTTTTGTTTTAATCCCAGGTGTGGGATTTTAGTTTGGGCTTTAGCTTGTCCACAGCTGATAATTGCCTCCTGTGTGGTGTGGTCTTTACCAGCTTGTAACTGCCTGCCTCATGAAACATGGAGAGGGGCAAGGCCTAGGACTCTGAGGAAAATAAATAGGAAAGCCTGGAGAGAGAAAGTGTGGCCTGTGACAGTTTGGGAGAGACCAGAGATGGACAATGTGGTGACTTGGAAAGACATGGGAGAGGTACTTTGTGGCGCAGCAACTTGGAGGAGATTGCTTGCTGCATTTGCTGTTGATGGAGATTGGAATAGCCCTAAAAGAACCATTGACTCTAAACAACTGGAAGAAGTTAAGGGGTCTGCATTCCCTCTCTACTCTCTCTCTCTCTCTTTCTCTCTCTCTGACCTACGGTTGGGGAGCTGGAAGGGAGAGGCTTTAAGGAACTTCAAATAAGGTGCCAATGTGGTTGGTAAGAAACCAATTAAAGCAGATAAAAAGGCTCACAAGTGACACCTAGAACTGGCTTAGGAATAATGGGGAACTTGGTTTCTAATGCCATGGAGGAAACGGCAAGTTACGAAGGAATGAATATACAGTTTTAATATATCAGTAAAAAGTTTATAGTGGCAGCTGCCACTGGGTTCTCTCCCATGTTGCTCCCAGACTGGATTTTCTGTTTTTGCTTTGTCTTCTTCCTGTATTCCGTTTTGTAAAGTTTTCCATTGGATTTTAATCACTACACCAGCAGTGGCTATCTGGACAGTAAACACAACAGAAAAAGTAACCAAAATATGTTAATGCCATTTAATGTCACAGACACACTATCTCAACCATTTTCAAGAAAGGTGAGACACTATAACTACAAAATTAGTCAAAGTTTCTGTAGAGGCCACATAGCAAGAGCTAACTATATATTCCCAGAATAACACCAGTAGGATTTTAGGACTCTGTCCAGATATGTAGATTTATTTTCTTTGCATTTCCAGAAGGAGCAACAGAATTCATCATGATCTAGGTATCTGGAAGCCACTTAATAGTTTTAGCCATCAGGCCAAAGCTTGTTTCATAGCAATCAATATAATCACAGTCAATTTGCCTTGCTTTTCTGCTTCTGTCCTATTTACTTAAGAATAAGCTTTGCTCATAGGCCAAAAGGAAAGGCAGAAAACCCCAGTCTTTTCTCTACCCAGCTACAAACATGGCCCCTTCAGAAGCCTGTATTCCATTTTTAAAAGGATTGGAAGAGTGACTGAATAATTACGAGTGGATATGAAGAGGTTTGAGGAAAAAGTGGATGAAATGTGAAAACCAGAAGTGTCACTCAAGTCTCTAGTTTTGAAAAGGATTGCAGAGTTGGTGGTACAAGAGAGTTTGCAGTAGAGATAGAAGCACTTGGGAAGCAAATAGTGCTGCTGATAAAGGAAGAAAAAAGCGTTCAGACCAAGTAACTAAAAATGGGTGTTTCCCTACTGTTGCCGCCCTGCTCTTCTCCATGCACTGTCAGGTGTGTGTAGCAGGGGGTGGGGAAAAACCGGAAGCCTGTGGGCCAGAAAGGCTCTGGACTCAAATGCACCACCAGAGGAGTCGCCTGGGCCTACACAGGCACTGCCAGTCTTCCCTGTATTTGTGCAACATAGGCCTGCTAATATTGGTGGTGAGGCTTATTATGAGATGACATGGTGTCCAACTGAAATACTAGATCTAAAGCATTTTAAAGAATATGTTATATGATATTGTATGCATTCATCTTTTGTTAAGCAAATATTAAGTAACTGGGCTATGCAAAACAGACTTATTCCCCAAGATTGGAAGGGATTGGTGTCAGCTGTTGTTAGAAGCTGATCTGCAGTTAAAATGGTTATCAGAGAAACTGCTGAATTTATTCCTGATAACCCAGAATTAACTTCGTTACTTATTCAATTGCAACAGGCCATCAAAAGTAAAAACTATCCATTATATATTACTCATATTCTGTCTCATACAGGTTTATCAGGGCAATTGGCCGAGGAAGTGAGGAAATTGACCAGTTACTAATAGGAAATGTGTTAGAAGCCTCAAAATTTCATGAAAAAAATAAACAATGCTAACAGTAAATGTTTAAAGAAAGATGATGATAGGAATCAAAGAAACAAATATGGACAGAGAAAACTTTCTTTCACCTGCTGATAGCAGGCTGTCTGTCCAAACTGTGAACAAGCATGACACTGGGAAATTGACTGTCTAACTTTGCAGAGACTAAGTGGTTGGTCCTTCAAAATTCCTGCTTCACGGAAAAGTCTGTCAGATATTCTGGGCCAATCAGCTGAAGACTGGATGCCCCAGTGTAACAGGGAAGCCTCTGGTGAATGTTCAGGCAGTCATCTGTGTCTGTCATTTCTATAGTTTTGGAAGCTGCTTGCTCTTCACTTCCTACATACTTAAGTAATATTTCCTTCTAAAGTCACTGATGGGGTTGAAGACTAGATAGTCATAGTCCTACTACAATTAAGCTTAGTTGTTTAGGAACCAAGACAATGTTTTAGTTCTAGAGAGATGTTTTTAGATTGATAGATACAAGGTATAAGAAAGTGATTCAGGTACAGAACTTTGGACTTACCAGGATAGGATAGATAATACTTTTTTTCCAAGAATACCAAATACAAATTGACTGGACTTGTAAATCTAATTCTTACCTGATAATTTTTATTATTTTTATTGTATATGGTTTATTAATGTTAGGAGAAAAGCCATTTTTTTTTTTTTTTTTTTTACAAAAAGGGGGGTATGTAATGGAAGTTTTTATTTCCTCAAAAACTCGGTAATATTATGTAAATATGTTTTTGTTTTAATCCCAAGTGTGGGATTTTAGTTTGGGCTTCAGTTTGTCCACAGCTGATAATGACCTCTTGCATGGTATGGTCTTTGCCAGCTGGTAATGGCCTGCCTCGTGAAGTATGGAGAAGGGCGTGGCCTAGGACTCTGAGGTAGGGGAACCTACCTCAGATAAATAGGGGACCCCAGAGAGAGAAAGGAGGGTGTGTAGCAGGTGGCTTGGAGGGACACAGGAGAGACACTTCATGGCACAGCAGCTTGAAGGATACTGCTTGCTGTTGACAGAGCTTGTTATAGCCCCCCAAAAACCCATTGACCCTAAACAAGTAGAAGTAAAGGGATCTGTGCCTTCTCTCCCTATTAACTTTTTCTTTCTTACATAGGGTTGGGGGTTGAAAGGGAGAGGCTTTAAAGAACTCCAAATAAAATAGAGTTTAAAAACAAGCACAACATTCAGTTTATTTTATGCTGTGTTTTTGATAATATTGTAGATTCTTAAGTGTGTTGACCATATTGACTAACACATTCACACAATAATATACTCACATAACTATCAAATATTCTACTCTTTGGGATTTTTTTTTTGTACAGAAAACAAAATGTAATGTTTTATGTTTTTATATTTTGTTAAATTAATTGCAAAGTGCAATTCCTAAAATGCTCCAAAAAACAAAAAACAAGTTTAGGTCCTTGTATGTGCACATTATTTAGGACATAAAACTTGGTATCAGATTCATTGATTTATGAAACAGGATTATCCATTTGGTTATAAGCCTATCTGTAGAGTTACTGTGTGATCACTGACAAAGTTTCTGTATACAAACTAGCAAAGTAGCCTCAAAACAAATGATTAAAACTTTTTCTGAGAAAAAGCTTACAGGAAAGGGACAGTGTTTAATATTTCAACACCTTTTGGTGAACAATTATAAACCATTTATACAGTGTATTATACATTTTCTGTTACAAAAGAATCCCATTCTGATTTTTCATATAGACCATGTCCCTATATTGTTAGACTTGTTCACTGGCAAACTGGTCACACATGTCAGTAATGTCTTCAGGACATATTAATTTTTCTTTCTTTTAATTAATGCAGTGTTATGACCCTAATTGTTTTCTCAAGCCCTGCTTGTCATGTGGAGGAAGTTCAAATAACAACTGAACTGAGTATATCTGAGGTGACAGCAATCAGTTTGAAGACAGAGAACCATCAAATTAGAACTTTATATTATTATCAGTCATTACTGTCATAAATTAGTATTTTTAGTTATTACTATGATTTGTAAAACTTTTACATATGTTTGAAAAATAACAGAAGCTAAAGAACATTGTACAGCTGGGTAACTGTCCCATTTTGCAACTGTCTTGCATTTAATTTGACATTTTGTGGCTAGTGGGTCCAGTTGCTTTAGTTGAGCCATGTCATTCTTCACTTTCTGTAAACCACTCCATAGATTGGTCTTTCTTCATAAAATTAGTTTCATTTTCATTTTCTTTGTTTGATTGATGGTCATTGGCTACTGAAATAAAATATGCATTTTAAGGTAAATTGTATATATTTAAGATAAAATTTTATGTATTTTTAAAATTTTTTGACTTGTTTTCTTGAGACAGAATGTCAATTTGGGAGTGGTGATCATGCTTTTAATCTCAGCATTTGAGAGGAGAAAAGAATACAACAGCAACAAAAAGATTGAGACAGGATCTTACTTACTGTGTGTCCCAGGCTAATCTTGAACTCCTGATATTCCTGCCTCAACCTCCTAAGTGCTGGCCTTTTTTCACAACAGGCATTCACCACTTCTTGACCCAGTACACATTTTAATTGCTTGTAGGGAACTTTAAAATAACAAGGAACCAGGCTTGGTGACCTATACCTTTAATCCTAGCATTTGAGAGCCAGCAGCAGGTAGATCTCTGAGTTCAAGGCCAGCCTGGTCTACAAAGATAGTTCCAGGACAGCCAGAGCTCTCCAAAGAAACACTGTCTCAAAAAAAAGAAAATAACTAAATAAATGAGTAAATAAATAAAATGAGGAAAGACCACAGAGATGGCTCACTGTTAAAACACTAGATCTGCTGATATCCAGAACTTGTGTGTGTGTGGGGGGGGTTGTTTTGGTTTTTTTTGTTGTTGTTTATTTGTTTTTACGATGGATGGGGTGGTGGGCATCAGCTACTTACCTTGTTTTTGTTTGTTTGTTTTTGTTTTTTCATAGCTGGGGAAGGAACCCTACATTTGCTAGCAAGTGCTCTACCACTGAGCTAAATCCCCAGCCCCGTGGTGGGCATCTGCAATTCCCAACATTCCTATAGCAACCCGGGAGGTGGAAACAGGAGAGTTACCTTCAAGCTTGTAGGCTGGCCAGCTAGTCTGGAGTGCTTGGGGCAGCAGCAAAAACAATTAAACAATTAGAGATTCTGCCTCAACAAGGTAGAAGGCAAGAACTGACTCCTGAAAGTTGTTCTCTAACCTACACACACACACACACACACACACACTGTAAACAGAAGGAAAACAGGGATGTAGTAAATAAAATAGTAGGGGAGAGCTGATGAGAATGATGTAATTTTTAAAATTACGATAAAAAAAGGATGTAACTTTGTTGTTGCTTTCGGCTCTGGGTATTGAAGCTGGGACCTTGAACCTGGTACTTGTTCAAGGCACACGATTAATAGAGTATGCCCTCAAGACATAATAACTCTTTTTTGTTTTTCAAGACAGGGTTTCTCTGTGTAGCCTTGGCTGGCCTGGACTTGCTTTACAGACCAGGCTGGCCTCGAACTTACAGAGATAACAGAAATCGCAGAGGAATTACAGGCTACCTCGCCCCATTAGCTATAGGGTTGTTTTGAGATAATCTTGTTCTCTGTGTATCCTAGACAGGTCTCAACTAGTGTTCCTTCTGCCTTGGCTTCTGGGAGTGCCAGGGTACAGGCATGATCTATCATACATTGCTTCAAGGTATAAAAATTCTTAAATCTTTTTTAATCTACTCAAACCTTGGCTTGATTTGATTTGAGACAGGTCTCATTCTTTAATTTAGGCTGGCCTGGAATTTACTATAGCCCAGGGTATCCTGGTACTAATAACATTCTTCCTGCTCTTATCTTCTGAGCACTGGAATAACAGATGTGTGCTACCATATACAGAATCTTTTAAACCAGGTTTAAAAACCATCAGAATTGGCCCGGTGGTGTTGGTGCATGCCTTTAATCCCAGCACTTAGCAGGCAGAGGCAGGTGGATCTTTGTGATTTCCAGGACAGCCTGGTCTACAGAGAGAGTTCCAGGACAGTCAAGGCTACACAGAGAAATCCTGTCTCAAAAAAAAAAAAAAAAAATCAAACAAAACCATCATAATTAATGAGATACATCAAATGATGGAAGAAATGTACTTTAGGAATGTGAATTACGATAGGGATTATTCATAAGTACTAGTTATTTTGTACTTTCTATATAACATACGTTGGTTTTGTTTGGTTGTTTTTTTTTTGTTGTTGTTGTTGTTGTTGTTTTGAGACAGAGTTTTTCTGTGTAGCCTTGGCTGTTCCAGAACTCACAAAGATCAACCTTCCTCTGCCTCCCAAGTAGGATTCAAGGCATGCTTCACCACTGCTCTGTTATAAAATACATTGTTTAAAGAACTTTATACATGTTTTTCAAAAACCTCATCATCAAGGTCATATTTTTATATAGTTACACAGTTTCTTGTTGTTTAGATGTAGATGTTTCTCTGTTAGCTAACTTTCACAGAGCTGGAAGGTGGTGCTATGGCAAGCTGTTGGGGAAGAAAACTCATCAATGGTCTTACACCTCAGTGAACCCTGCATGTTATAACAATACCGGACTTCAAAGCAAGATGTGCCTACTGGTGAAATAGTGGCATAACTGTTATGGGTGTAATCAACTACTCCCACTCCACAGGAGGAAATTCATGCCTGGTATTTTCAACCTGCTCAAAAACCTTGGGGTGCTGAGATGCAGGCATCTAACACCATACCTGGTTTCAAGATGTAGCAGGGTCTCACATAGCTGTCTGTCCTCAAATTGGCTATCCAAGGATGACCCCTGGTCCTCCTGTACATCCCAAATGCTGAGATTATGGGTGTGTGCCACATGCCTGGCTTCATGTTAGTTTATTTTTCTTTTTTGTCTATGTCTTTTTTGTCTTTGTCATGTATCACTCTCAGATCTTTGTTTTTTGAGACAGGGTTTCTTTTTCTGTCCTGGACTCACTTTGTAAACCAGGCTGGACTTGAACTCACAGAGATCTGCCTGCCTCTTCCTCCCGAGTGCTGAGATTAAAGGCTTATGCCACTACCTTCTGGCTGATAATCTGTATTTTGAAATTCCTATCTGCTATTCCACTCCCTCCTGTATGTTTGCTAGTCCCTTCAAAAACAGGACATATTCAATATCTTGTTGATATGTTATTTGTTCTGAAAATCCCTTACCAACTTTCTTATTCCACAGACAGAATTCTGTAGTCTGTTTATTGTCAAAGACAGGGTTCTGTAGCTTTGGCTATAGAACCTACCTCTGCAGCCTCCAGAATTCTTGATTTATAATTCTGTAATCTTTTATACTTATAAATGTTGGTCATATAGCATAGTCCGGATCACATTATTAATCCATGTGCTCTGCTCTGTTTATTTTTTAGTGTTGGAGTTTGAACCCAGTGTCCATTGCCTGCCAAACATATGATATGCTCTTCCACTGAGCCATATCTTTAGCCCTGATTACATCTTTATTAAGTGCAAAGATTTTAAATATAGTGATTTGTGTCCAGAACAGTGAATGACAATATGATAAAAAATGAAGTTCAAGATGGTGGCACACACCTTTTACAGCACTCAGGAGGCAGAAGCAGACAGATCTCTGTGAGTTTGAGGCCAGCCTGGTCTACAGAGTGAATTCCAGGACAGCCAAAGCTATATAATAAGAAACCATGTCTTTAAAAACTATTTGGTTATAGGTTATCTAACATATAGACTATTCTGTGCCTGACAGAATAGTCTATGACAAAAGTAATAGTCAATGACAAAAGTAAGGCTTGGTGTGTCCCCCCCCCTTTATTTTAAAACCTCAGGTTTACAGATAATGTTTGCCCATGTTTCACTTACACTAGAGTATGTGTCTTGAGGCTGAAAGAGTAACAGTACTAGTTTTCTATAAAAATGTGCTAAGGGGTTTGGAGGTATAACCTGAATGGAAATAAAGCCCTAGGTTGAAACACCAATACCAAAGCAAAAAGTAGAAAAGTGGGGTCTGGAGAAATGGCTCAGTGGTTACAAACACTTGGCTGCTCTTCCCACAGAACCGAGTTCAATTCCCAGCACCTACACGGTGGCTCACGACCACACGTAACTCTAGTTCTAAGGGATCCTATATCTTCTAGCTTTCCTGAGCAATGTGCTAACGTGGTAAGCAGACATGCATGCAGGCAGAACATTCACACACATAAAAAAAAAGTTTAAAAAAACATTGCATAAATTTAAATAGAACTGAATCCCCATATTTCTGTTGCTATTGCTGTTGCTTTAGCTGGTAATGGCATAATGTTTATGAGTTACACCATTGGTTTTTCAGCAGTAAAATGAATATTAGAAAGAAAGCCTCTTCAAAGCTTCTTGGAGAACTAGATTTTTAGATGTGATTAGTATAAAAAAAACTAGCTACTACCAGTAGTTATAGTATGTCTGACTTTTTAAATAATGCCTCATTTATCCCCATCAAAGAGTTTTGACAGTGTTTCCCTCTACACTGTCAAAGTGACAGTTTGTTTTTAAAATGTCACAAGCATTTTTGTGTTAAAATTGCTAAGTAACATGTTACTTAGAAACAAACAAACAAATAACAATAACAAAAACAAACAAGCAAACAACTTTAGCCATGGTATTGCACACCTTTAATCCCAGAGGCCGATGGATCTTTGTGAGTTTGAGGCCAATCTGGTGAAGGCAGTGAGTTTGGGCTGCCCAGGGTTACACAATGAAACCATGTCTTTAAAAGAGAGAGAAAGAGGGAGGAAGGGGGGAAGGAAGTTAGGCTGAGTGGAGAAAAGAAAGTTGTGTTCTTTTGTTTGAAATATGGAAACACTGACCACTATTTATATAAATTATAGCTTAAAGATATGGAACCAAGACCAGCTCCTTGTACATCTCTCTTGAAGAATATCTGAATGAGTTTTTATGATTATAGACCATCAAGTGAGTCCAACTTTATGTAGACAGTAGGGGAAATTCTTTTGCTAGCAGAGGTAACTATAAGGAATAAGCAACAGCTAAGGCAGTGAGAGCCTGACCCTACTCTTGGTAATATTATGCCTCCTTCTACACTATGTTGTTAACTGTATCCCTAGTCAGCTCATAATCGTTAAGACCAGAAAATGAATGCAGACTTTTTACTGGTCAAATGTATATGTGATCAATATTTTGTATCTATCTGTCTATCTATCTAATAAGTGGCTTTTGTAGTAGTGGTTTTTAAATTTTTATTATTAATTTTTATGTGAATGGGTGTTTTGTCTATATGAACATCTGTGTATCACATGTGTGTGGTGCCTTCCTGCATGCATATGTGTGCATCACATATGTATGTTATCTGTAGAGGAAAGAAAAGGCTGTCAGGTACTCTGGGACTGGAGTAACAAGCAGTTGTGAGCTAAAATGTGGGTGCTGGGAATCAAACTGGGGTCCTCTAGAAGAGTGAGTAGTGATTTTAACCACTGAGATATCTCTCCTATGTTGCCTGCTCCCACCTTTTAAATATAGGAAATTGTTGTGTATCCCAAAGAGGCTTCCAGCTTACAATCCTCCTACCATAACCTCCTGGGTGCTGGTATTACAAGACATTGTCACCATGCCTAGCAATGTATTTTCTTTATATTGTTTGCCCTCTGATATTATCAAATGCTTTTAGAGTTAACCTTAAGATTTACAATAAAACCGTTGGATAAATATTTATTCCTTTCTCTAGGCTGTTGTGGTGCATGCCTTTAATCCCAGCTCTCAGGAGGCAGAGGCAAGTGGTTTGCTGAGTTTTAGACCAGCCTGGTATACTTACAGAGCTAGTAACAGGACAGCCAGAGCAACACAGTGAGACCGTCTTAAAAAACAAAACAAACAAAAATTATTCCTTTCTATAAGAAACCTATAAATCCTAAATTGGGAATTTCATTAATAAATAAAGTAAAAGCACAATCTCTTCTACTCTCTCCCCTACATCAGCACCCTACTTTTGTTCATAATCCCTTGAAGACTTGCTTTACATTTTTTAAATTACATTTATTCTTTCTTCCTTTCTTGGTCACCCCCCTCTGTTTTGAGACAGGGTTTCTGTGTGTAACCTTGGCTGTCCTGGACTTGCTTTGTAGACTAGGCTGGCCTGAATTCACAGCAATCCACCTGCCTCTGGGATTAAAGGTGTGCATCTCCATGCCCTGCTCTCTCTCTCTGTATATGTTTGCTTCGTGCACTACAATGTTCATGTGGAGGTCAGAGGACAAAGGGAGGAAGACAGTGCTTGCCTTCCACTGAGAACTGAACTCAGGTCATCATGATTAGCAGCAAGCTTTTACCCACAGACACATGGCCTGCCCCCAGATTTTTTAGTACAGTGACTGGTCAAGCACCTTACTTCCTGCATACACTCCAGATTCCTAGTGAGATGTCAAGACCTGGAATATAGAGTATGCTCTAGTGATATCTACAGGGGCTGGTCTAAATAAAACATAATGGTTTCTCTTCTGCTTTCTGTGGATATCTATTCAAATTATTAGAATCTACTCTCAACTCATTCCACAAGCATTTCAGAAAAAAACTTGGTTCTTGATATTTTCACTGCTAAAAGCAGGATTTTATCAAAGGCTAAGAGAGCATAATAGGTAAAAATTCAAGACTCCAGTCACAAGACTGGGATTCAAATATTATTCTACCAAGTAGGCAAATTAACATAAGCCTTGGTTTCCTTATTTGCGAAGTGGGGATAACAATACTTAACCTTCAGTAGTAGTGAATATTAAATATAGTATGAATGAAAAGAGCTTGCCATAATACCTGAAACATTTAGGTATTTAATAAACATACCTATTCTGAGGATCAAAGAATGTAAAAGTAAAAGCCTGGGAGACAGGAGAGGGAGGGATGACACATGGCAATTCTTACTGTATAGTTGAGGTAATGCTCAACCTCATTTATTGTCAAATATGAGTATGACAACAAAGAGTGGGCTTGGAGATGTTGAAAGGTAAGAAACTATACTGCCAGTAAAATTTGTTAAGCAAATACTGTGCCAAAAAAAGAAACAGGAATTAAGCTTTACTGTCAAGAGACTGGAGCAGTGTTTCTCAACATGTGGGTCATGACCCCAAAGACCATCAGAAAACACAAATATTTACATCATGATTCATAGTAGCAAAATAACAGATATGAAGTAGAATGAAAATAAATTTAGGGTTGAGAGTCACTACAAATTAGGAACTGTATTAAAGGGTTGCAGCATTAGGAAGGTTGAGAACCACTGGACTAGACTTAAGTTTCTCTTTTAGTAAAGTAAAGCTTCAGTACTTCAGTTGTTACTATCTTTCTCATAGGAATATGGTAAAAATAAACCGGTAAAATTTTGAAATGATGTGGATCTGTTTTTGTTTTCTTTCTTTCTTTCTTTCTTTCTTTCTTTCTTTCTTTCCTTCTTTCTTTTCTTTTTTCTTTTCCTTTCTCTCTCTCTTTTCTTTCTTTCTTTCTTTCTTTCTTTCTTTCTTTCTTTCTTTCTTTCTTTCTTTCTTTCTTTCTCTCTCTCTCTCTCTCTTTTTTTTTTTTTGACAAGCTTTCTCTGTGTAGCCCTGGCTGTCTTGGAAATCTGTAAACCAAGCTGGTTTCAAACTCAGAAATTCACTTGGCTCTGCTTCCTGAGGGCTGGAATTAAAGGTGTGTGCCACTAATGCCAAAATCTATTTTATAAATGAGGGAAATCTGTAAGAAGTAAACAGGATCCTATCGCAGAGTATTATTCTAGTACTGTTTCAAATCTAGAAAAAAATGACAGGGAAATACTACATATAAAAATAACTTGAAAATTATGGTATAGTTTGTATTTCTGGTTAATATAATTATTTTCTAGTTAATATATCATTGTTCTAAGTAAGCTTTTAGATCTCAACAAAAATGATATATGCAAATATATTATGCACATCACAATAAGGTTTTCAAAGGCTAAATAACAGGAAAATTTTTATACTAAATAATAAAAAGCTAGACTGGATAAAATATGTCATAATTTTGTTAGAAATAGAAAAGTATATAGAAAAAACCCAATAATTGGATGGTGATTACAAGTAAATTTATTTTCTTTTTGAAAACATTTTTAAATAAAATAAACATTTCATAAAAATTCTTCAAGCCCTAATACTTGGAGCTCATGGCATATTGAGTTTCAATTTAAGATATGTTCAGATCCTTTTTAGTGTATGTAGGCTACCACAAAACAGGTATAGATAGAGGCTAAAAAGTGGTAACCCAAAGAGGGAAAACTTTCAATATGAATTTAACTCAGTTATGTAACTTATGCATCCCTGCCTGTAAGGTCTGACTAGATAAATAAATAACATGCATTAGTTTAATTCTACTTTACCATTAAATCCTACCTTGAGAATAGCTATTAGCTTGAGAAGGATCACCTATCATGTCCATTGATAATGAATTGTGTAATTCCTGAGAATGTTTTTCCATTAGCTCTACTGTGTCACTGGATGAAGATGACGATGAAGACAGTCCCAATCTCACATATCTTCCTTTTTTACCACACAATGAACAATCTACTGGTGTGGCACTAGGTCCCCGGGGCAGATGAACTTCGTCTCTGTTGTAATTCCTAACAGCTCCACTGTGATGCACAGAGCGCTCTCGTTGCCAGATGTAATGGGTTGGTGCAATGGCCATAACCTATAGTGAAAAGGTTACTTTGTGAATTTAATAACATTTTAAAATTGAGTAAAGTACAGAAAGTGTACCTCAAGAGCAGATTTTTCTAAACCTGAAATTAAAACAGCAACTAAGTTACCTAAAAAAAAAAAAAAAAAAAAAAAAAAAGAGAAAGAAAAAGAAAGGAAAAAAAAAAAGAGAGAGAGAGACGGTCATTGTAGCACACACCTTTAATCCTAGCACTCAGGAGGCAGTGGCAGGTGGACCTGTGAGTTCAAGGCCAGCCTGCTTTACAGAGTGAGTTCTAGGACAGGCATAGCTACATAGAGAAACCCTGTCCTAAGGCAGGAAACAATAAAAATACTTACATTACCAACTCTAAATCAGCAATACCAGCAACTTTAAATCAGTAACATCAAATCAATCAAAGCAACATTTTTTATAAAGTGATTCCTTGGATCATTAATTTTATAAATGACAAAGTACCTATTTGTTCAAGCAGCTAATATAAGTGAAGCAACCTTTTAAGTTGCTATTTTTTTTTTTTTTTTTAGTCAGTCAGTTAGGTTTTTTTGAGACAGGGTCTCTCTAGGCAGCCCTGTTTTCAAACTCGTAGAGATCTGCCAGTTTCTCCCTCCTGAGTGCTGATATTAAAGACATGCACTACCATATCCTACCAGAGTATTTTTAAAATTCTGAACATTTCTAAGTTTCGGAAAGATAATATAGTTAGGCTAAAACATTATGCAATTCTTAACTTTTGAATGTGTGAGGTTAAAAAGAAATTAGCCTCCTAACTATGTTTGTTAGGCTAATTTTAAAATATTTGCAATTACATTAAGGGAAGTGCTATTAAAAACATGTAAATTAATTTCTTTGTTCCTCAATTTCCTTATTTGTTACCCAGTGACAACAAGAGTATATTTTTAGAAGATTGTGGTGAGGAAAGGATCCATTTTATAAAGCACCTAAGATTTCTCACTATCAGGCATTGTCATAGGTTTAATGAATAAAGAATGGGCTTTAGTTGTAGACTTTCTATCTTGTCCTGGCTCTACCACTTGCTAACTGTATACTACATAGCAAATTACTTACCCCTTCCAAGGTTCAGCTACTTCACCAATAAAATGGGAGTGCTAACCCAAAGACTGTTTTGAGATTCAGGATTATATGTAAAATCCTTACACATTAGTAAGCATTTGGCAAGTTATAGCCATTTAAGAAGTCAAGTTATAGGGAAAATCTATTGTTCTGACTTCATAAAAGCCAAAACATCAACAAGTCTTAAGTCAAAATCCTTAGCTGCAGTTATCAATGACCCACAGTAAATAAGTATAACCCTAAAATGAGAGCCAGACAGAGCCATTCTAGTTGGCTACTGATTTTTAAAAAAAAAAATTTTACAATTTTAAAATTTTAGAGTTATATTGGGGGCCTAGGAGGGACAAGGGAAGGAAGCAGCAGAGGAGCTCAGTTTTAGGGGTGTATGAATAAGGTGTATAATTTTGTTTGATGAGAAAAAAAACTTTTGTTTGTTTCAAGTCAGGGTTCCTCTATGTACTCTTGGCTGTCCTGAAATTCACTCTGTAGACCAGGCTGGCCTCAAATTCAGAGATCCGCCTGCCTCTGTCTCCTGAGTGTTGGGAATAAAGACATAAGCCACCACCAGGGGTGAGAAAGAGCTCTTACGATGAAAGTGAAAAACCACTAGATTATTTAACAAATGCTGTACCTTTGCCAACCAGGTACCACTGGGCCATATCACAAGTGTCCCTGAAATTATATATATATATATATATATATATATATATATATATATATATATATACTCATATATACATAATATATAATAAATCTATTAAATAATAAATATACATATAAATGCACACACACATGAAGATGGTGGAGGAAGGAAACTATGATTCTTATAGCCCAGGATGGCTTTGAACTCACTATATGACTAAAGATGACCTTGAATTTCTGATCTTCTTGTCCACCTCCTAAATGCTGGGATTGCAGGTGTATTCCACCATGCCCTGTTAATATGCTGTTAGGGATCAAACTCAGGGCACCAGGCATGCTAGACAGGCATTCTACAATTCTAGCTCTTAAGTACATTTTATGATTGAATTTGTTTATCCTTCCATTAAGTTTTCAACTAAAAGCATTTAATAAAGAAAACTAGAAGCAAATGAGAATATTAACTATACAAAACTTCCTAAGGTAAGGAGATAGAATGATATCAGATTACTTATATGTTGCTGGGGATTGAACCCAGTGCCTTATGCAAAGTAAGCAGACACTATACCACTGAGCTAGATCCCCATCTTAAGAATTTATTCCTTTCCTTTCCTTTCTTCCTTTTTATACCCCCCATGAGACAGTTTCTCTGTGTTGCTCTGGCTGTCCTGGAACTCACTCTGTAGACCAGGCTGGCCTGGAACTCACAGAGATTCTCCCACCTCCACATCCCAAGTGCGGGGATCACAGGTGTACACCGAAACTGCCGCCACCTCTGCTGCCATTGCCACCCAGATTATTACTTTTGTTTTTAATGACTGCTTTTTCTAGCACTTCTGTATCTTTGTTTTCCATATCTAGAATATTATCTCCTTTTGTCTTCGTATTACTTTTCCCTTCAAGACTCAGTGGAAGTCTCACCTTAAAAAAATTCCAGCTTGTAAGTTTCTTTGTCTTATTGTTAGTGCTAACTTATTTCACCATGAAAATGTCTAGTACTAAGATACATCTTTTTAGTGCCACGTGAAAGCCTTATTAAAATGCCTGAGAGCTCAGTCCCGGGACCTAATCTTGCCTCTATTGGAATTAACTTAGTAAGTGATCTTGTTCGTTCTCAATACATTAACTTTGAGGGACTGCAGTTAAAACCACTTCCTAGTCATCCAGAAGAGCAGAGTTCAGTTCCTGGCACCCATATCTGGCAGCTCACAACCACCTGCAACTCCAGCTCCTAGGGATCTGACACACTTTTCTGGTCCCTACAGGCATGTGCAAGTGCACGTACACATACAAATAAAAATAAAAATGTTTTTTAGAAGAATTTAACATAGAGCTCTAAAGGCCTCTCTTAAGTCCAGTTCTGCATAACAGGCACCTTAATATGGCTGTTGAGATAAAAGGGAGCTGACAAAATGAGTGGGAAAAGCCGCAATCCTGATATTTGGAAATGAAGACACACGAAGACAGTGTATCAGAGAAACAAGTGTGCCAAATGTTGCTAAGTTGAGGACTGAAAACCAAAAGCTAAACTATGCTTTGGCAACATAAACCTATCAGGAGGCTTTGACAAAGTCCTATTGAACAATAGAGGGAAGGCTTTATAGAACAGTCACAAAGAGAATGGAAGAGAACAAAATAGAAGCAGAGTAGCATGTACTTGGAAAAAAAATTAGTGTTCAAATATGGCTCCTGTCACTTTCAAGGTTGGCAAATAGCTATGCAAATTGTCACCTATTTCTATTTGAGACAGGGTCTCACAATTTATGCAGTCCAGGCTGATCTGGAACAAGATCCTCCTGCCTCAGCCTCCTGAGTACTGAGATTATAGATTATAGTCACGGACCACAACATTGACCCAAGTAGAGACATAAAAGAGACATACAAGAAATAGAGACTAAAAATAAGTTACAGGATTCTGTCAACATCCGTAACTGGAAGAGTTGTTTGAATGACAATACATTAATTGTAGAAGGCCTCATATATGCAACTTTTCATCTTTTCCTGTTAAATTTAAGTTTATAGAGTCTTGGTCTGCTACATAACCTTTCTGTTATTTTCTGTCCTCTGTTATTTCTGAATTCTTGCATTTCTTCCAAGAGCCAATAATCCTAATTTGTAAATATGCATAGTTGTTGTATATTATCTCATTAACAAATATAATTAACAAGATTAGTTCTGGGGAGAATTCTGTGATATGCAGCTACGGTCTTTACTCAAGTTGAAATGATCCATCAGTTTGGGCTCCTTTGCTCGGTAGTTATTTAACTGGGTAGGACTTAATCACAGAATTATCTAGTTTGCATTTCTCACATTTCTTAAACAGTAATACAAGAGTTTACAGTAATTGTTCCTTCCACTCAATTTTACTCTAGATTGCTTTTTTTGTTTAAAATGCTAATACAAAACATTTGGTTCAAATAATTTATTCATAATAAAATTAATAAAATCTGACATTAAGGAAACAATGTGCTGGGCACAGTGGTGCTTACTTTAGTCCTATCTATTGAGAGACAAAGGCAATCTGATCTCTGTGAGCCAGTCTAGTCTAAATAGAGTTCCAGGACAGCCAACGCTATAGCGAGAGACCCTGTCTCAAATGAAATTTAAAACAAATTAAAAAAAAAAAAAAAAAAACAATGTAGTTAAAAACTTTTATCTGCTTTTATTTATTTGTTTTTTGTTTTGTTTTATTTTGAGACAGGATTTCTCTGTATAGCCTTGGCTGTCCTGAACTCACTTTGTAGACTGTCTGGCCTTGAATTTACAGCCTCTGCCTCCCTGAGTGCTGGGATTAAAGAGGTGCACTACCAACCCTGGCTTTGCATTTATTTTTTGCTGAATTTATTCCCATGGCATAATTTTTTGTTTCTTCTGGCATATCTTTTTCTTCTGTGCAACCTGCTCTTCTGGCTTTGGAACAATTTGTTCCTTTTCAGTAAAGATCATCTCAGTGTGGCATGGGGAGCTCATGAGTGGGCTAATCTGGCCATGAGCTCTGTAAATTCAATGGCACATCTTAGGTGCTTGACTCAATGGCTAGAGATTCTCCATCTAAACCTTTTAGCACAGCATTACTCTCTGCATTTGTAAGCACATACAGCAAAAATTCAGTATTCTTTTTTAGCCACCAACCCTGTGTCCCCACTGTTTGGCCTGGGAATAGCTAGCTATACTGCCTGAACAGCATACATTGCTTCTTTAAAGTGACATCTTTCAGATACTTGGTGGCTTTTTGGAACGCATACCCTTGATGGCCTGGCCAGTTTCATGGTCTCCTAGAGTGAACACAAAGATCTGAACCTCTTGATTTGATTTTGTAGGATTTTCTAGGTCAAAAGAGTTGTGAACTATTTCAGAGGTCTCCTCTGGCTGCTTATAGGAAGAGAAAGCATGACAAATTCATGAGACCTCGACTTCTCACAAAACAATGTATTCTTTGTGACAATAGGTATGTATTTTTTTGGTTGGTTGGCTTTTTGTTTTTGTTTTTTCAAGACAGGGTTTATCTATATAACCTTGGCTGTCTTAACTCACTTTGTAGATCAGGCTGGCCTCCATTGAACTCACAGAGATCTGCCTGCTTCTGCCTCCTCAAGTGCTGAGATCACAAGCATGTGCCACCACTGCCGGGAATGTCATAATAATCTTAAATAATATGCTTTAGTATGTCTACAAACCCTTTGCTAGCATACTGGTAATCTTTTAGACACAATAAGAATAGCATAGAAGAAGTCTGCTCTAAAAAGTAGAAATTACAATTTTTAATAAATGTGATAAAATTCAAACAGAAACAAAATATACAAGTTGCATAGTAATGACCAAGGTTAATGATCTCCATACATGTACAAAGAGAGAGATAGCCATAGAAAGAGATCACTAAAAACAAAGCAGGCAGGATATAGTGGCATGATGTACTTTTATCCTAAAACTGAAGAGGACAAAATAGGACTGTGAGTTCCAAACCAGGCTGGGCTACTTGTCGGGACTCTCTCCCCAAATACAGAAGCAAAGCAAAGCAAAGCAAAGCAAAGCAAAACAAACAAATATATATATATATATATATATATATATATATATATATATATATATATATACACACACACACACACATACCAAGGAAAAATTAGATAAACAAAGATAGATAATTAAAAAGTTATTTTAAACCCTTACCTCTTCACAGCATCGCCTGCTTACAATAGCCCTATAGTCAATTCTGTCCCAGAGCTGATCCCTTAACTTTAGAAAATTAGGGAACAGTTTTCTCCAGTTTTTCCCTAAAGCCCATGGAAAAATTTCATACTTGGCTTCTTCTTCATCTTCTTCAACTGTATTAGCCAAATACCTAACAAAGTAGATCAACAACCCAAAAAAGAAATTAGTAAGGACAAGAACAATAGATAATAAATAATAGATGATAAAAATACTAACGGTTTACAATACATAATAGATATTCATATCTAAACTATATAACAAAAATAGTTACATAAGGAGTTTTATACTTGTTGCAACTTCTAGGGTTTTTTGTATTCCTGTAAATGTTGACCTCTGTTCTGGCGTATGAGTAAGTTACTTTGAAGCAATCTCTTTTAAGGCTTTTATGACTTCTTAGATGAATCTGTAAGCAATGTTCAGTATGAATCTAATCAGCTTCCCCAGCCCCGACACTTTCTAGACTATTTTCCTTACTACTCTGGGAATTGTGCCTTTTTACTCTGGCTGAGAGCAGGTACTGTTTACAGTTCTAGATGAATGACAGTAAGGCACTCTCTTTTCTTAGTTTTTCTTTGGGGCTATCTTCAGAGCTCCCTCATACACATTTGGATGTCAGTATTTTGCCAAATACTTGAGGATGACCAGGCATATAAAAAAGCAGGAAAACACCAGAAGAATAACCAGTCAATCAAAACCAACCCAAAACTGATATATAATTGTAACTATTTTTAATATAATTTATTTCATATGCATTGGTATTTTGCCTACACATATGTCTATGTGAAGATGTTGGGTCCCCTAGAACTGAAGTTACAGACAGTTGTGAGCTGCCATGTGGGTGCTGGGAATTAAACCTGAGTCCTCTGGAAGAGCAGCCATCCTCCAGCCCCCTTGCTATAACTATGCTCAAAAAAAAAAGTAGACAAATTGAAACTGCACTTCTAGATATGAAAACTATAATGTGTAGAATGAAAAACACTGAATTAGATTAATGGAAGATTGAATCCTGGAGAAAGAGATTTGTCAACTGAAGGCACAGTAATAGGAACTGGACAAACTATAATATAAAGACAAAAATTAAAAATCGGGAATAGAACATTAGTCCAAAGTGAACTTCGGCAGGTAGACAGACAATACTTGATGACATAGATGAATTTTTCCAAGGTTTGGGCTACGGATGTGACACAGCTGGTATCATGTCCACACAGCATGCAAGAGGCCCTGGACTTGGTCCTCAGCACTGCATAAATAGTTATTGTGGCATACACCTGTAATTACAATTCTTGGGAGGCAGAGACAGAAAGATTAGGAGTTTAAGCACATCCTCGGATATACAGAAAGTTTGAGCCCAACCTGGACTATAAGAGACTCTTTATAAAAATTTGATAAAAATTGTAAATCTACAGCCAGGTGGTGGTGGTACATGTATTTAATCCTAGCACTGTAAGGCAAAGGCTCTGAGTTTGAGGACAGCCTGGTCTATAAAGTGAGTTCCAGGACAGCCAGAGAAACCCTGTCTCTAAAAACACAAATACAAACAAACAAAAAACAACTATGAATCTAGAAAAAAGTCCAACATTTGGTACATCATAGCCAAATTGCTCAAAAGCCTTAATAAAATCTTTAAAAAGCAGTCAAAAAAAAAAAAAAGAGAGAGAGAGAGAGACACACACACACACAATAAGGTAGCATGTTGGTACACATCTGTAATCCCAGTACTTGAGAGGTCCAGACAGAAGAACCAGGATTCAAAACTGCCCTTAGGTACATAGTAAGTTTGAGTCCAGCCTGGGCTACATAAGACACCTGTTCCATAAAACAAAAATGAGGCAAGATACTAATACTGAAATAAAGTTAGTAATAGAGCAGATTTCTAATCAGAAGCAGTGTAGGCTCCATAGTTCACATTAACAACAAAAACATTACAAAACACACCAGGAAGTAAGACACCATGAATGGAGCAGATCCCCAATCTAAACGGAATACAAAAATAACTGTCTATGGGTTGGAGAGATGGCTCCACAGTGAAGTGTTTACTGCTCTTGCATGGTACCTGGCTTCAGTTCCCAGTACCCATATCAGACACCTCACAGCACCTATAACTACAGTTCTGAAGGATATCACCTTCTTCTGGACTTCACAGGCACCTGCATGCACAGGACGCATATAAACCCACACTCATATACTCTTACAAATAAAAATAACTAATATGTGTAAATATAAGGTAAAAATATATTTGGAAAAAATTTTTAGATAAAACCACATATAAAAGTGGTTTTATCAAATATATAACAAATATAGTAATATTAGTTAGACATAAGATGAAGATAGTAGAGGTTGCCACTGCATTGAGTATTATCAACAATCCAACTGCTTCTTTTGCGTCCTCCATGCAAAGGCCAGAAACAGTAATTTTTGCCTGTGCCATATCCTGAATAGTACAGAGCTTAAATATGGCTACAAGTTTCCCATTGAAGATATACAAGCAACAAGCTACCCTGCATCTGTGACACCAAACAATAATGTAGTTTCTTAACTCAGGCCGTGGCTTCAAGATTCCTCATACATCACTGCTATTGTGCCATTAATGTGGGAGCTCTTTATTCTCCTCTCCTTAGACTTTCAGGTCTACTCTCTTGTTCAGAAAGAATGTGGGCATTCAGGGTCAGAGGGCAAGGGCTCTCCTTTCACTCCTCCAACCCACCGAGCAATCATCCTTTTCCTGCTATTGATGTCCAGATGTTGTACAAAGGTTTCTTTCTTTGTTTTTTTTTTTTTTTGTTTTTTTTTTTAATTTGTTTGTTGATGTAGCCTTGGATACCTGCTCAGAGATCTGTCTGCCTCTGCATCTTAAGTTCTAGGATTAAAGCACTTATATGCCACCATACTTGGCTTTTGTGTGCCTGTGCATGTGGCAGGGGTATGTGGAGATGGGTTAAGACAGGATCTTACTACAAATTACAAAGCTCAAGCTAGCCTGAAATTCACTATGTAGTTCAAGCTGACCTTGATCTAGGATCATTCTACTTCAGCCTTCCAAAGTATTGGGGTGTTAAGAATTATAAGCTATCATGCCATTTATGAGTGTAGAGTCCTAGATTAAAAAAAAAAATGCCGAGTGCCTTAGTTATGTGTTTTATTGCTGTGAAGAGACACCATGACCATGGCAACTCTTACAAAGAAAAACATTTAATTGGGGCTGGCTTAGTTTCAGAGGTTTAGTCCATAATCATGATGGCAGGAAGTATGGCAGTGTGCAGGCAGAATGGTGCTGGAACTGAGAGTTCTACATCTTGCCCACAGACAGCAACAGGAACTGTCACACTGGGCATAACTTGAGCATAGGAGACCTCAAAGCCCACCCCCACAGTGACACACTTCTTTCAATAAGGCTACCACTACTTCAACAAAGCCACACCTCCTAATAGTGCCACTTCCTATAGGCCAAGCAATTAAACACATGAATCTACGGGGGTCATACCCATTCAAACCGCCACACCTAAACACCTTAAAATCTATCAGTGTTTGAACAAAATATCCCCAAGTTGTTAAAAGATGTGGAAAGCAGAGTGCAACATATAGCATATTTAACAGATTTCAAAAGAAGTTAACATAGAAGATAGGGAAGAAGAGTCCAAGTGTTGTTTATTGTTGTTTATTCCTTCACATCAAGGAAATTGATCTAATCTCAAGTAGGTTATAACAACTTTTTCTAAAGGCTTACTTAAAGGTAGCTAGAAAAGGAAAACTAAATATCTCAGGCATATTAGGCAAGTAGTTCTACCATTGACTTATATTCCAAACCTCTTTTTACTTTTTACTTTACATCAAGATCTCTCTACATTACTTAGGCTGGTTTTGAGCTCATTCAATAACTTAGGAGACAAATAGCATGTAACTAATAAGGGTAGAAGAAGATGTGGGAGGATGAAATAGTGCTGCTGGGGGCACGGGGGCATTTGCTTGTAATCTCAGCATTTGAAAAGCAAAGGCAGGAAGGAGGAGCAGGTCAAGATCATTCCTAGCTACATCAGGAGTTTGGGGCCAGCCTAGGCTACAAATAACTTGTCTCAAAAGCGTTTAAAAAAATAAAAAAAATAAGAAGAAATTCAGGGTGTTACAAGAATATTGAAAGGAAACATATGACTACATAGAAAGAAAATGAGCTTTAGAACTGTGGCTAACGAGAGATGCTTGATGAAAGGAAATACTGAGTTAGCCTACAGAAAACATATTATTTAGACACAGGATGGAAATTATAATTCATGTTACTCCAAGTATAATACAATATGCAGTGAATTCTTTAAAATTACTCCACATCTGAACCGGGGTTTTAGGTCCTCTCCATGCATTGTCCTTGGTTGGGGTATCGGTCTCTGCAGGGCTCCCAGGGTGCAGGGTGCAGTTTTTGTTTTTTTTTTTCCCCCTCTGTTGGTCTACTTTTGGAGCTCCTGTCCCCTCCAGGTCTTTCTATCTCCCCCTTCTTTCATAAAATGCCATGCCCTCGGCCCAAAGTTTGGCTATGAGTCTCAGCCTCTGCTTTGATACCTCTATTAGTAGAGTCTTTTAGAGGCATTCTGTGGTAGCTCCTGTCCTGTTCCCTGTCTTTTCCTGCTTCATAAGTCTATCATGTTTGTCCTTCTGAATGAGGAATGCATGGAGCGGACCTAAAACCCCAGCTCAGATGTAGTGCATAGACTCAGTATCCAAGTGGGGTCCCTAGTAAGGGGAGCAGGGTTTTCTCTGGCATGAACTCAGTGACAGGCTCTCTGATCACCTCCTCCTGGGGGGTGCAGGTTTGCCAGGCCAGAGAGGAAGACAATGCAACCAGTCCTAATGAGACCTGATAAGCTAGGTCAAAAAGAAGGGGAGGAGGATCTCCCTTATCAGTGGACTAGGGGAGAGGCATAGGGGTAGAAGAGGGAGCGAGTATGGGATTGGGAGGAGATGAGGGAGGGGCCACAGCCAGGATACAAATTGAATAACTTGTAATAAATGATAAGAATAAAAAAGAAAAAGAAGGGGGCTGGAGAGATGGCTCAGAGGTTAAGAGCACTGGTTGCTCTTCCAAAGGTCCTGAGTTCAATTCCCAGCAACCACATGGTGGTTCACAACCAATTATAATGATATCTGGTGCCCTCCTCTGGCATGCAGGCATACATGCAGACAGAACAAACATTGTACACATGATAAATAACCTTAAAAAAAAAGAAATCATACCAAAAAAATTACTACACATTAAAAGCTAAATAGTATGTTAGTGGCTATAACCACAAAACAAATGAAACAAATTCAATTTCAGGCTTCTAGCTGGATTTGCACTAAAGCCATGTTTGGCTTGTCTTTAGCATCTTTTTTTTAATTATTATTATTATTTTTTTTTTTGAGAGTTTCTCTGTAGACCAGACTGGCCTGGAACTTGCAGAGATCTTCCTGACTCTGCCTCCAGAGTGCTGGGATTAAAGGAGTGTGCCACCACCCCCCAGTTTTTGGCTTGTCTTTAAATCTCAGGTAGAGAAAACTATAGATTAAATACAGATGTAATACTGAAAGATATAAATGGCCATTTAACAGTATCAGGGCTGAATTTAGCTCTCAGAAATAAATATCCATTTGTAGCTCAGCAGCTCTGCTACTGTTAGCCCAGGCTAGGCTTAAATTCATGGTCTTCCTGCATCAGCTTCCTACATGTTGGGAGTATAGGTGTATATTAAAACATCTGGCCTCCTGGCTAACTTCTGTGATCTTACAAGGTGCTTTACTGTCCTAAATCTGTTTCCTTGTCTATAAAACAGGAATAAGGGCTACGCAGAGAAAGCCTGCCTCAAAAACCAATGTGTGTGTGTGAGAGAGAGAATCAGAGACAGATGGGAAAATTTATATGAGAGCACTGCGAAAAAAATAAAAGACACAATGAAACCTGCAGTGGTATACTGAACAACAAATCTCTGGTGTGTAATGGAAGGCCAGTGAAAAGAACATGAAATTAAGCTATTAAAGTGAAAAATATGTAATTTTCATACATAAGAAGAACTATTAACAATATCCATAAAATTGTAATGTTTCTGCTTTAAATTAAAAATCATATATATTGTAAATAACCAATAAAATTCATTTAGTAGAAAGCATACTTACAGAGCAATAAAGAAATTTATCCTGGTATGCTCATTTATAGTAAATTTAGCTCTCTTGAAATAAACAAAGGTCATAGCCAAAAGATACTATAAGGAAAATTAAAAATTAATATTAATGGTTTGCTTTCATCAATACAACTGCTATAAAATAGTTGAACTCTAAATCTTAAGGCATTATTTATCTTTATACAATCACCTCCTGAATACTTATTTTTATTTTCTATAATTAATTAATCTACTTGAATAATATGAGAAATAATTACTGATAATTACTGAACTACTGAACTAATATAACTACTGAAATAGTTACTGATAATTTATTATATTTAGCTAGATAAATTTCTAAATTTTATTATACCTGATGAATTTAAAAATTAAAACTCCCATTTTTTTTCTAACTTAAATTTCAAACTTATAGAGAAGTTGAAATAGTTCAATGACTAACCAAATATCTTTCACCTAGATTCACCAACAGTTCCATTTAAAACTGGAAAAACGCATTTTAAATGTATTATTATAAAGACACAAGTTATAATATGAATATATTTCTCTCTCTCATACTTATTCATTATCTAGTAAACACATTGTACAAGAGGATTCCAAGTATTGTCTTCATTCCAGGGAAAGGATTCTTGAAATAATGCCAAGTATTCTGGGTTAGTTACTTTTCAATCACTGCCCCCTGCTGTCCTCCAACATTAAAGCACTTAAACTGTACTGTTTACCACAACTCTATAGAAATGTTATATCATTACTCTTTATTTGAAACTAAGATTGATCTCTTTATTTGATACTAAGATTGTTTTAAAAGGTTACATTTTGGAGATATATTCTATTTGTACACTTATTGATACATATTTATTTATTTATTTGTGTGTGTTATATGTCAGGCCACCACCCATGTGTGGAGATCAGACAACGTATGGAGGTCTGTTCCATTCTCTCCTTCCACCATGTGAATCCTGAGACGACTCAGTCATCAGGCTTGGCATCAGGCACCTTTACCAGCTGATGCAGTATGTGTGTATCCCACCAGACTCACATTAGCAAATGTTTATGGTAAAAATCTTAGCACGCCTCATATTAATTTACATTAACTTACATACTTCAAAATAATTTACATTCCTGGGAAGAAGGGTTAAAAGAAACAAAAATGGCCACATTGATGACTATCCTTTTCTAAGAGCCACGTGGAAGGTCTTTGTCTTTATTATGCACTGTATGTGCTTTAATTTTTCTGAATTAGTTCCCAGAGGCTGCAGAGATGCCTTAGCCCTTAACTAACAGCACTGTTTATTCTTCCAGAAGACCTGAAGTGTGGTTCCCAATATCCACATGGTGGCTCACAACTGTCTATTGTGTCCAGTTCTTGGAGCTCTGACAGCCTTTTCTGGCCTTGAAAGGCACTGGGCATGCAAGTGGTGCACAGACATACATACAAGTAAAATACAGACACATGTACACATAAAATGAAGGTTTAAAACCTTCTAAAATTAATTTCTTATTTTAAAAAATATTTTAGTTTTAAATTATGTGTGTATGTGTGTGCAGATGCCTGAAGAGGGCCAAAGTCATCAGATACCCCAGAGCTGGAGGTACAGGCAGTTATGAGTCATTCAGTGTGGGTACTGGAAACTACACTCAGGTCCTTTGGAAGAACAGGAAGTGCTCTTAAGCACTGAACCAGTTCTCCAGCTCTCCAAATTAAATAAAAATTAAACATTTTTATCTTTGTCACATTTAAATATTAAATGAAAGCCTTCATTTCAATACTTAGTATTAATAAGCTAATTTTCTGAACATTGCTTTATCTATTAATTTATATTTTAACTGTTACTGAACTTAATATATGACTTCTCAGTCCAAATGGGTATCTACAACACTAAAATGGCAACTATTCAGCTGACTCAAAAGCATAAAAATATTGAATTGTGTCTACAAAAAAAGCATAGACCATCAATGTTTTTAATAAATCATACAGTTTATAAAATATTGATATCGATCTGAAGAACATGTTAAACTAATTTTACCTGTAAGATTAGTAGGAAGGGGGGTAATGAGTGAGAGGTCTGAATAAGAATAAAATAGATCTGTGTCATAGAGCACTCCTTTAATCCCCACTCTGTAGGCAGAGGCAGGTGGAGAGTTTTGAGTTCAAGTCTACATAGGAAGTTGTTTGTTTTTTTTTTTTAAGATTTTTTTTATTAGGTATATAGTATTCCGCCTTTATGTACCCTTGCACACCAGAAGAGGGTACCAAATCTCATTATAGATGGTTGTGAGCCACCATGTGGGTGCTGGGAATTGAACTCAGGACCTTTGGAAGAGCAGCCAGTGCTCTTAACCTCTGAGCCATCTCTCTAGCCCCATAGGAAGTTTTAAGCCAGCCAGCGTTACCTAGTTATGCCCATGTCTCAGTGAAAAAAAAAAAAAGTATGATACATATGTATCAAAATGTCACAGTGAAATTCATTTCTTTGTATACTAACCAAAAAGAGAATGATCCATTATTTTAAAAATATTTTAAATTACGTTGTGTGTGTGTGTGTGTGTGTGTGCATGCGTGTGCCCACTTGGGAGCTAGAGCCTCAGGTAGTTATAAGCAGCCAAGATATAGGTGGTAGGAACCAAACTTGGGTCCTCTGGAAGACCACCAAGTGTTTTTAACTGTTAAGCCATTTTTCCAAAGTACCAAGTCTCTATTGATCCTTGTTTAGCTTTGGTAAAAACTAAGTGTAAGAATTCTGCTTTTTGGGCCAGTGAGATGCCTCAGTGGGTAAAGGCACAGGCCATCAAGCCTAATAATTCCTGGGTCCTACACCGTGGAAGGAGAGAACCAACTCTGTAAGTTGTCTTCTGATCTTCATATACTGGCTATGGCATACATACTATAATAGTTACAAACACACACACAATTAAATATAACAAAAGAATTTTGCTGTGAAGGAAAACTGTTGGCTAGTTGTTTTTCTACTTGTAATGAAAGAGAAAATTCTTATTGGATCTCATAAAAAATTTAATAATCTAGTAGCATAACTATGATGGTTTATAATTATACTATTTCCAGTTTACCTTGTCTGCAATTTTACAGCAGCAGTCCATCCACAAGAAATCTTGAATTAAATCATCATCTACAACAAAAAATAACTATGACTTATCATCTTAAAAAATGTTTCCTTTTGAAGAAACAATTTTTATATTGGGCATTTTAAAGCGATGGTTAGAAACTAAATAAAAATGGTTGCTAAGGTGTAGTAATTTTTAAAGTATATTCATCATTGCAAGGACTATCCATTTCCCATCTGATTTACTTTACTATGTATATACCCAGCTTTAAAGGAGAATATGTTTCATTTCCTGGGTATCCAACAGCATGTTGGGTAACTCCAGCTCTTCCTTCTTTTGCACAATTTTAAGATGCAGAAATGGAATCTGATGTGAGATAATTCATCTTCTAAGAAATAACACCTTAATACTGTTCTAAGTGTATTACTTTTTCTGTTTCTTTTTCTTTTAAGGTCCGGGATGTTTTATATTTTCATCTTTTCTCCCTATTTCCTTTCTAGACTACTTATTATTCAAATTAAAATGCAAACATGTATATATATATATATATGTATATATATACATATATATATATAATTTCAAAATTTACTTTGAATTTACGATTAGCATTTAATTTGGAGAAAACTGATTATTAGGATAAAAAGATCAACAAAATCTTGAAGAATAATAGTCCTGCATGCCTTTAATCCTAGCACTTGAGAAGTAGAGGCAGACAGATCTCTGTGGGTTCAAGGCTCAGCTGGTCTACTCTAGGCCAGCCTGGGCTACATGGTGAGACAAAACACAACAAAGAGCAACATTCAAAAAAAAAAAAGCCTCTTGTTTTGATTTAAAAGTATTAAAATAGATAATCTCAAAGTATGTTGAATACTATCAGAATATGATCTAATAAAATCCCTTTTATTTTACAAATGAAGCAAAAAGTTCTTTATATTCATTTTCCATGGTATAAATTGCATTAATGCAATTATTATTTGGGAAATTCTAGGAATAACTATTGATTTTCTGAGAATTAGTCTCAGTTCTGTTTCTAAAAGCTAGAATCAGGTGTTTTCCCACAACAGGGAAGAGCTACTCAAAGTTTGTGGGTAAGGTCTGGAGATGACCAACAAAATGGGAATTTTGCTGGCCTGTGATCCCAGCATTCGGCAGGGGAGGGCAGGAGGAGCAGGTCAAGGTCATCCTTGGCTACATAAAGAGCTCAAGGCTAGCCTGGCACACATGAGACCCTTTCTAAACGAAGTGGGAGAGGGAGTAAAACAGTTTGTGGGTGGTAGTTCTATCCTTAATGATGAGCAATGGGAATGTTAACATTTTAGATTCTGATAGGGAAAATCTTTGCAACTTTTGTTTACATTCCTCACCTATTTCATCTCATCTAATTCACATAGTCTTGACATCTTACCAAGTTTGCCTGCATGCACACAGCCTTCCTCTATAAACAAGGAGGTCTGTTTCCCACAACTGTTGGACTGCGGTAAAATATCACTTACCAGGAAACGTCGACACTACCCTTTACGTCTACCTTGCTGCCATGCCTGCAGAAACAGGCTCCTTTCTTGGCTGGTATAAATACTAAAAAAGGTCTTTATTTGTCTGTTAATAGGTATATAAACAAAGTATTCTTATGTAATGAAAATTCAAATTCATTATATAAGCATGTTGATAAATCACTTAATTTTTTAAACAATATTCCAAAAATATAAAACTGCAACTTTCTTGATTGATCAGTATTACTATTTTACTTGGTTTTAGCTATAAAAGTCTTGGAAAACACACACAGACATACTCAAATTGGGTCAGTAACTCATCTGAATCTTATACTATTTTATTTTAGGTCAAACAAAATTCATATCCTGAATTGCTCAAAATATACAGTTGACACCTAGATTTAAATAGTCTAAATGGTCAGATCAATCTGAATATTTTTATTATAAAAATGACAAAAGAAGGCTTGCAAGATGGCTTGGTGGATAAAAGTACTTACCACCAAGCTGGACAATCTAAGTCTAATCCCTAGGATGCACAATGATGGAAGAGAGAAACTACTTGCAGCAAACTGTCCTCTGGTCTCCACAAATACGCCTAATGCATGTACTCCTGCACCCCACACAAACACATTGTAAAAAACCAACACAATACATTTACATTCTGACTCTTAAGTACTTGATACTATTAAAATGTCTTACACCTACCAAATAATTTAAAGAAAGCAGTCATCTCCTGACGCTGTATGATTAGACAAGGCCCTTTGGGCCGCTTAGGTTTGTTATTATGTGCATTTTTTTCAGATGCTTGCCAGCTATCTTTAAGAATAGGACGTTTCAGATTAATAGGTTTTCTAGTTTGCTGTGACCTATTTGAACCTGATTTTACATGAACAGTGACAGTAGGTGGTGTCTCACAACACATCTGATTATGCCGCATTTTGGCTTCCCAAGATTCCTATAAAAATAAAAATATAAGATTATTGATCAATTCATTCAATTTCTATATGAAAACTAGCTGGATCCTATCAGATGCAGTCATATAAACTGATGATCTTGCTAGTAAAATGTTATTTGTAACACTAAGTAATATTAGAAGTTGCTCTTACAGTACTCAGAAATGCTATGTTTCTTCTGGATCTATAGTTCGTGGCTGCCTCAAACTCATGAGATAAACCAGGCTGGCCTCAAACTCAAGACATCTGCATGCTTTTGCCTCCTGAACCTGGGTTTACAGCCATGTACCACCATGCCCAGCTCTAACTTGATATAATTTTTAAAGTTGTTACCATCCTATCTGAATGGCTATTAGCATATATGAATATTTAGTATTATGAACTGAAAAAGTCTGAAATAAAATTATCAAAAATTAAAAAAGGAAATTTATCTATCATTATTCAACAATATGAATGCTCATTATTATTCAGGATTTGGTGGTGACTAGGAAACATCATTACTATTAATAACACAATTTCTTTTTGATCAAATTGCTTCTACAATGAGAAAGAGAGGTATGAATAGACAAAGTGGGGAACAACTCCAAGATCTTACTGAGAACCTCTAAATCTGTGACTCACAGCGGCCCAGGCAGCCATACTTTCCTTGGTGTTCAAAGGGTTGCATACAGATTCTCCCTCCTGACTCTTTAAAAACTTCCCTGCTGAAGGTGAGGCTACTCCCAACATAAAAACTAGATGGATACTACCAACCCTGTCCAATCTGAGAGTCATATATATAATCTTATATTTTTAAGCCCATATTTAAAAAAAAATATGAGGGCTGAAGCTATAGCTCAGTGGTAGACTACTTGCCTAGCACAAAAGAGAGTTGGGCTCAGTCCTCAGTGCTGAAAAAAAAAAAAAGAAGTTAATTTTAATATTCAATGTAATAGATCAAACATGTAATTTTATTACCTAATCAATAAAAATTAATGAAATATTTTACACCCTAAATCTTTTAAGTCTGGTACATTTTTTATACTTTGCACATATCTCACTCAGTTTTGATGCTCATTACTAAATAGTTTGAAATGTAGTCCTGTAAAAATGAAGTAGTGCTAAGCAGTGGTGTCATACACCTTTAATTCCAGCACTTGAGAGGCAGAGAGAGGCAGGCAGATGGATCTCTGTGAGCTCGAGGACAGCCTAGTCTACAAAGTGAGTTTCAGGACAGCCAGGGCTGTTGCACAGAGAAACCCTGTCTTGAAACAAACAAACAAAAAAATCAACCAAACAAAAATGTAATCCCAGCTGTAATCTCAGCACTTGGGGAGGCAGAGGCAGGTGGATATCTATGAGTTCAAGGTCAGCCCAGTCTACAAATCAAGTCTAGGACAGCCAAGGCTACACAGAGAGACCTTGTCCCAAAAAAAAAAAAAAAAAAAAATCCCACAAAAAAAACTGATATGTGGGTATATATATATATATATATATATATATATATATATATATATATATATATATAATGAGAGAATATTTTACACTCCTTCCATTTTATATTTGAATTAAGTAAAATTCAAAACTTTTCATTACACCCAGCTAAATTCAAGTGTTTGATGGTTACATATGGCTAGTGGCTACGGTATTAATTAGTGTAGGGTCAGATTATAAAGAACTGGGCAGAGGGGCTGGAGAGATGGCTCAACAGTTAAGAGCACTCACTGTTCTTCCAGAGAACCCAGGTTCCATTCTCAACACTCACATAGTGTTACAAACATCTAATTCCAGTCCCAGGGAATTCAGTGCCTTCTTCTGGCCTCTGAGGACATCAGGAATACATGTGGTGTAATACAAACACATGCAAGCAAAATGTGTGTGTGTGTGTGTGTGTGTGTGTGTGTATGTATGTAAAGAGATGGAGGGAGGGAGGAGGGGGGAGAGAGAGAGAAATAACTAGGTAAAGGATAGAGCCTATATAACAACATATACTCTATCTCAAAACTAACACCAACCAAACGACCAAACCAACCAACCAACAACAAAAAAAGAGACACAAGAAATAATGATTAGTTTTACAATTATTTCTTATCTTTTGCTTCCTTCCTCTGTCTTTCTTCTGGAAAAACAAAAAACAAAACAAAACAAAAAACAAAACAAAACAAAAAAAAACCTGAACAGTCACTAAGCTTCTGAAATGGAGTGGGGCAGGGCTAGCTGGATTCAGTGTAGGACACACCGGAATACAGAATTTTGTGGCACATTTTCCATGAGCTAAGTTTTACTCAATAGTGACTTTCAAATAATGTTTTTAAGTTGAAACCATAGGTAAATAAGAAAACCCAAACTTCACATATCAGAATACTTCATCTAAGACTTGAGAAGACAGGAAAAGGGCATGTTTGAAATTCCCAAATAGAGATTAACTGACGTTAATAAGGGCTGAAAGAAAGTTGTGGAGTGAAGCTTAAGGACAGCCTGGTCGAACACCACTTTGCGGAATCTCTTTAACTTAGCTCTTTGTCTAGATGCACCAAAGAACAAGGGTTGTGCTGTAAGAGGACAGAAATAAAGGGCAAATTAAAATTTGCCCATTTCTCATGAGAAAGCGAGAATAAGAGAAACTATGCCCAATGCATCATGTGTAGTCATTTTCCCCAAACTGACACATTCCATCCTAGAGGGAAGCTGCTCCACACTCAGGATGCAAACAAAACAAGGATTAGAAAAATAAACAACTCACAACATTCACCAACCCCCTCGCCAAGGTTATAAGGCGGTAAGGACTGCTAGGGAGAGCCGTCTTTCCATTCAGCTTTCCCAGTCATCATCCATGCTGGGGGTGGGCTTTTCGGTGATGCAGCCCGGGTCACCCACGCCTGTCAGTAAGCCCTCAGCCATACCTCTGTCCGTAACCCCGGTGAACTCGTGGTTCACCCAACTCGGACTTGGGCGGCATCCCTACTTGGATCTGTCATTGATTCCCCGTCTGGGGTGAGTAGATGCTGGTTTGCACCTCTCAAGAAAAAGCCTCACAACATGAGGTTAAAAACCCTCAACTCACTTGTATACACATTCTACCCAACATTGGAAAACCCGTAGCAAATTTAATAATAGACGAAGTCTGGGTTTGTGAGGTTTGGGGAGGTTCCTTTTTTGTTTGTTTGTTTTGTTTTTGTTGTTTGTTTTTGTAAGTACACCCGAGTTTTGTTAAGCATCCGAAGAAAGTTCTCTCCGGGGGTAGTAGAAAGGACATCGGGAAGACATAACAGAATAATAACAGAAATAGTTTTTCTGTATGAAAAACTGACAGAAATGGTTTTTCTGTCTGAAAACCTAACAGCCAATCCTTGGCGAGTGAGGACAGGTAAGGCAACAGAACTTCCGCACATTTGGGGAAATCGGCCAAGGACGTCGCGATGCGACACCGCAGCTCAGAACTCAATCGGCCGGTGGGGCCCGGGGTGGGGCCGCGGGGCCCGGGACAGAGCCGCGGAGCCTCGGTCCCCACCGTGCACCTCGCGCCTCCCGCCGGGCGTCCTCCTCGGCCCGCAGGGGCTCTCTCCTGTCGGCCCGCGCAGCCAGCTCCCGTCCCCGCCTCCGGGATGCCCGCCCGCGTCCCGGCCTCGGAGCTAGCGTGGCCCACGCTCGAGGCCGCGAGGGCGCGGGGATGCGGGCCGAGGGCGGCGGGGCGGGGGCGCCCTGGCCCCTTCCCGCAGGACCGCGGGGGGCGGGAGGAGGGCACAGGCGCCGGCGGCCGACACTCGGGACCCGCCACCAGGCCCGACCGCCCGCTGCGGACGAAGGTACCTGCGCAGGCCGGCTAAGAGCGCGCGGCCCGCAGCCTCCGCCTCAGCGCTCTACCTCAGGCGGTTGCGCGCCGCTCGGCCGCCGCAGGCAGCGACACCCGCCCCCCAGCCGCAGGCCGCCGGTCCGGAGCGCGCGGCCGCGGGAGCCAATCAGGGCGTGGGGACGGCGAGGGCGGGGCTGGCGCCGTCGCCCCGCCCCCGCGCCGAGCCGGGAGCCTCTGCCTGTTGCCGTTATTTCGCTCCGAGGACCGGCTCTCGGTGGGGCTGCGCTTTCCCGCGAACGCTGTCCGTGTGCAGGCCCCGGGTGGCCCGCCGTCCCCGCTTCCGGCGTCTCTGCGCGCGCCTCGCACCTGGGAGCGTGAGAGGGCTGCCGCGCCGGAACAGTGTGTGCATGAGGGTGTAAAAGGAGGAAGGGCCCGCCCAAGGTAGTCCCAAAGCTGCGACTGAAGTGGCTTTTAGCGAGGAGAGGGCAACCGTCTCCCGTTCATAGCTCTAAATACTCCTCGTCAGCCTTCAAGAGAAGTCTGGGGTGTAGCAGCCGCTTAATAGACGCTGCCGGCCTCATCCCTCTAAAGCAGAATCAGCCCTTCCTGTTGACATACCACATCCGTTTCTCCAGGCTGCTGGTCTTTTATGTCGTACTGACTGCATATTCCAGAAACAAGAGAACACATTTATTTAAAAGCATTTTTTAGCCTTGCCTATTTGTGGTACTTACTAGCAATTAGCTCCTCGGTCAGCAACTCTGAACATCGAGTGCATCTTATAATTACACTAAAAATCACCTTCCAAAAAATCACTCTGAGAATTCAAGAGTGATTTTTCCTGGGGGAGGAAGGCCTTTGGTCCTTAAGTGGATAAATATGTCAGGAAAATCTTTCGGGAAGTGGCCGCTCCATTCTTCGTTCCTCTGGCTTTTCTTGGGGATCATTCCCTGTTGTTTTTTTTTTTTTCCTTTGTTTCTGGGGTGCCAGGGATTCCTGTGATCACTAACTTCCAGCCATTAGTATAAAATGTTGGTTTAATGAGCGATGGATATACAGCACATGAACAGCAGTATGCTGTGAAATAGACGAAGACAGACACAGAAATAACTACAGAATACACCGAGTCTTTTCCATGAGAGGTATAGAAAGTTTATACACATACACAGAAACTTCTGAGTCAGGACATTGTGTAGTCAAAGCTGGCCTCCA